ACTGGTGAATGATAAACAAATAGATGGGTAAAATAAATAGATAAACATAATATTCTCTGCTTCCATTCTCTCTGTCTAAGCTCTCAGTCTATCATCCTAACCTCTTCATATTGTTGTATAATTCCTGAAGAAAGCAAAGGAAAGGCAGCCTTGGAAAGGAAAATAAGGATTACTGAAAACCAAATCTTATTCTTCCATTGAGGCAACATGATCTTCAGAGGTTGCTAATTTTTTTTATAAAAGAAAGTTCCTGGCAGTGTGATCTTCAGAGGTGTGTTCCCACGCTTCCTTTGGGTAAGGGTGGTCCTGCTTTAAGATGGCTCAAGGGCCAGGTCTGGAGAGTGCAGGTCAACTGATCACTCACTCATCCGGCACTTGCTCATGCACTTAGCATACTCTGGCATCATGTTACATGCAGTGGTATCTATAGGAATAGGTAGATGCTTTCTTCCAGGAGTTGTGGAATTCATGAGTGTAGTGTGACCAGGGCTGAAATCCCTCTGTAGACAAACATGCCTAACTGGACCTGGGAAAGGAAAGGCTTCAGAAAGTCAGGTGAGCTGTGTTTGACAGATGAAAAGGATCTCACCAGGCAGAGGAGGAGCAGCTTGGAGAAGGAATAAATGGGTTATGGTGCAGCACCTTGGGTGGCTGTATCAGAGAAGGCATAGGGGGTGGGGGACTTCAGTGATAAAGAGACTGACATAAGGACTGGTGCAAACATTTTATTTGTAAGCTTATTCTGGGAAGCAGGAGTCAGAGAGGGAGGTAGAAAAGAACAGGAAAAGAATGTGGAATGGGGACCACTGTCAACAACTGGGATTAGTTCCTTTTGGAGACCAGTGAACAACCATACAGAAAGTAAGCCTTGGAAATGCCCTCCCAAGACAGGAGCCTGGGACATTTAATAACCAGCTCCCATTTCCTTTATCATGAGATACCCCTGAGGATGTTAACTTCCTCCAGGTTTCCATTTGGGCTACTCTTGAGAACTTTGTGACTTTGACAGGAACCCTAAGGCAGAAAAGTAGAGCATAGGCAAGGTGTTCCATTGAGGTAAGACCCCAGCACCTGCATCAGAAATCCCAGATGGGTCAAAGGAGATGGTATAGGACACAAAGGCATCTGTTCTGAGAGTGACCCAGATTGGGAAGTTGAGAGAGTATAGCAAGCGGAAGAAATTCAGTTAGTGGGGTAGAAAAGTAGACTGAGGTCAGAGGACCTGTTGTAAAAGATCTGATAGGCCAGTTTACAGTTTAAACTTTACCTGTTAGGCTCTGGTACCTAGTAGGTGATCAACAAATATTTATTGATGAATGAATGCTAATTAAAGGCACCCTGAGTCAAGCCCTTGCAAAAAGATAATGGGCTTTAGAATCTAGCTGGCTAGCTGCTAACCTCTTTGACCTCTTTCTCTCTGATACAGTCATCAGTGATACCTTCCTTGCAGGGTTGCTGTGACATATTAGATTAGCTCAAAGATGTATGGCAGTTAGAAGTATGGACTCAATAAATGTCAGCCACTCGTGCCCTGCCCCCAAAGCCAAGTAATAAAGCCAAACTATCCACCAACTAGAGACAATGAAGGTTGCTCCTGGGATCTGTTTATAGAAGATGTATGCTGGCATTTCTGACTATATTGGTCCTGGTGGGAAAAATCAGTGGTATTGGTAACAATTTTCCTGGACCAAAAGGGATCCATACTGCTGCTTTAAAGGACAGAGTTGAAACTATCCTCCCAGGGAAGGTACAAATTCAGAAATTGATGCTTATAGTAATGTGTAGTTGTTGTTTTTTTTTTTCCTTTGTGCATTTAAATGTACATATTGAAACATTTTCCAATCAATATGCCATCCCCTAGGGTCATTCATCTATGTTGTGCTGCATTTCTCTCCCTTTCTAAAATCTTAACGGAGACCAAGAAATTTGTGGACTCTGCTTGAAGGAATGCCCTCATACTGGCTGATGGTCAGCACTGGGCATTTTGCAGTCCTTCCCAGTGGTCAAAGGCAATTTTGGAGGTCTCTGAGGAAGTAGCCCAGTTTCTATCAAATATGAAACTAATATGGGAGATGTGGGCTGAGGAACGAGGTAAAAGACTGAGAAATCACACAAACTGAGAATTACTCAGTGTATTTTACACTTAATCTTAGCCAAGAAGCAATACTCAGTGAATCTTAAATCATCCATTCCCCATAACAGTCAGTCCCAAAGACAAACATTGTGATGATTCATGCCAGTGGCACATAAAATTAAAAGAACAACAACAACAACAACAGCAAAAACAAAGGAAAAGAGAAGGAAGAAGGGATACTGGGTAGCTGAGTAAACAGACTTTGTCAAGAAAGGAAATTCCAGAGTTGAGAAGTCTCTGTGGTTGGAGTCTGGAGTGACTCACACCTGGAGGGTTAGAACAGGATCCACACGCCTTCATCATTCATTCATTCAGTCACTTCCTCCATACAGCAATTATCAATGCTCTTTCACCCTTTGCAAGAAGCTGCAGAAATACAAATGTGAAAAAGATACAAGCCTTTCCTCAAGAGGTTCTGAAAGTAGAAGCAAAAGATGTCACTGACAATTAGGGTAAACTGGAACAAAGGGGACTCCCTGGTGGCACAGGAGTTAAGCCTCTGTGCTATCAAGCTATCAGCAGCCACTGCAGCACCAATTTTGATCCCTGATCAAGGAGGTGACCCTCATGGCGCAGCAGACCTCTCTTGTCTCACCTGCTGCTCCCTTCAGCAGTGTATTTCAGTCAATCCACCTGTTCTGCTTATAACTCTGTCTCTGGTGAATCCTCTCTCACACACACACACCCCTACACCTCTGGCCTACACCCAAATTCTTGTATTTAAATAAATCAAAATAAATCTTTTTAAAGAAGTAAAGTGGAACAGCCTTCTCTGGTGGCACAGCACAGGTTGGAGCACTGCACTGCAAAACTAAGCCAAGGTATGGCTGTTCGGTGCAAGTTCGATCCCTGGCCCTGGAGGTGATCCACATGGCGTGGCAGACCTCTTCTGTCTCACCCCCTGCTCCCCTCAGCAGTATACTTCCTTGATCTGCCTGTCCAGCTCCCCACTCTGTCTCTGGTGAATCCTCTTGCCAGCCCTGCACCTCTGGCCTGAACCCCATTTCTGTATGCATAAATAAATAAAATCTTAAAAAAAAAGAATAAAGTAGAACAAGAAAAACAGACATGTGTATAAGGTCAAGTGACACAAAGAAGGGGAGAAGGCAGAAAAGCCCTCAGAGAGGTAGAGATCCATTAGCTGGGTCTTAGGAGGACTGGAACTCCCAGGGTGTAGGGTGTTGCTCCTGTATGTGGGGACAGGAGCTCCAAGGAAAAGTAAAAGGCACCCATAAAGATGGAAATAGATTTGGGAGCAGCAGGGAGTTGGTTAAGGCTAATGCAAGCATAGGAGGAAGGCAGAGACCAAATGTAGGAGACTGTGTCATATGACAGACTCTAGACTCCATTCTGCAGGTGATGAAGAACCACTGAAGGGTTTTGAAGAAAAAAGAAAACATGGTACAATCCAATTTGTAGTTAAGAAATATCCTCCTGGTTTCTTCTCAGTACCTGGCCTTGAGGGATGGATTGAAAAGTGGGAATAGCATAGGGTGTTTGGATAGGTCAGATGAAAGGAGATGGCAGGGGGCTGGAGAGAACAGGTATGGTGGGCAGGAAGAATCTCCACTGTCAAGTCACTTAGCTTCTTAGACTATAGATGTTTCATCTTTAAATATAGGAAATGTGAGTCATCAATAAGCACCCCACACCCACGCACAAGACCCACCTCTCCTGTCCTTATCAAACAGTAAACCCTCACCCAAGACCCTGGAAAAATGGGGTGCAAACAGGTGTGGAGGGGAGGGCCGAGGAGGAGCCCCACGCATTCACCCTAGCAGGAATGCCAGCCCAGACCGCTCTCCCTAGGGGAATTGTGAGGCCACAAAGAGGAGGTGGAGGTGGGTCCTTTTTGATGCCCAGGTTCCTGCCGGAGGTCCTGCAGGCATGGCTTGATTATGTCGAACTTTGAAATCACAGGGTCCTGCAGCAGTTACTTAGAGCTGTGTTTTCTCCCCCAGAAAAATTTCAGTGAGTTGTGGAGAGAACGTTTAAAACAACACATATGCACACACAGGCCTAGAAGCACACAGCCGCACACACGAAATCCAAAGTTTTGGGCCCAGTTTTGGTTTTAAACAGCTACGTGATCTTGGGCAAGTTATACAACCCCGCCGGGCAGCAGCAGCCTCAGCTGACACCTGCCCTTGCTGCTATGGCACAGCCCTTCTCCTCTCCCACCATTTTCTTCTTGGTCCTCTAGGTCCAAGACACCGCCCCGACCCAGTCAGGCGAGGCTGCAGAGAGCCAGGTAGGAGGATGGCTGGAGCCCGGGGAGCCCCCGCGCGCTCGCTCTCCCAGGCTCCCGCCCTCCAGGCCGCGCGGCCACGCGCTGGGGGAGCCGGGAGTCCGCGCCACTAGCTCGCGGCTGTCAGAGAGGCGCAGCCGACTGGTCGGAAAGGTGCGAGCCGGGCCTGCAGGGGCCAGCTGAGGAGGTCGCCCGCACCTCCCGG